GAAACTCTAATAGTCTTGTGAAATTGCAGTATCTTAAAACGTACACAACTAACTTACTAAAACTTAGCGGTTCGCGAGCAATGAGTGGTGACCTTAAAATGGGTGGAAATGAAATAGTAGGTGTTGGTGCTCCTACAACTGATAATTCTGCTGTGTCTAAGAAATGGGTCACGGATCATGTCAGTGGGAGTTCTGCAAGTAGTAGTGGCTTTACTATGAGCGGTAATATTGACATGGGTGGTAATACTATTACAGGACTAAATAGTGGGTCAACAGGAAGTTCTAGTGCTGTTTCTTACGGTTCTATGACTTCATGGTGCTCACAGTTTCTTAAGCGTAATGGTGGTACTTTAGCTAGTAATTTAGATGTTAACGATTACGAGTTGACTAGAGTTGGAAATCCTACTACCGACGGTTCCGCTGTAAATAAGAAATGGGCAACTGATGAGTTCATGAGTAGTAGAGGTGGGCTGGTAAAAGGTGATTTGGATATGGGAGATTCAAGTGGAATTCTTGATCTAAAGGATCCTGTAAATGATAAGGATGCCGTCAACAAGCAATGGGTGGATAATAATTTCCTGAAGACTTCAGCTGGTCTTACTCAGGCAACGGCTGACGTTAGATATGTAAGAATACGGCGACATATACATGCAGAATGGATTTGGGGTTATCGTGGTGTTGCAGTTGCAGCAACAAGGTACTACGCTTTCTGTCAAGACCAGATTCCACCTTCATGGAGAACAGATCCTATTAATAATATGGCGGACCTCAACCTTGAGTCAATAAATATTAAATCAGACGCCCCACTTTTTTCGGCCGTCCTGAATATACCTATAGGACTCATCCTGTGGGCTACTGTTTGGGAAAAGCAATCTAATGGAAAATTTGCTAAGGTTAAGAAGGAAATCACTCTTGCCACGGTTGACTTAAGAAGACTGTCCTACACTTGGTTCAATGGAACTTTTACAACTACCGGCGGAAGTACAGCTTGCTACGTTTTCAAGGGCAATAGTATGTTCTATTTAGGAGGCCAGGCTGAGTTGGTAGATAACACGCTGGCTTGGTGTGTTATAGTTAAACCAGAACACTCAATGCCCATTGGTATGAGTATGGATATGTCATTCTGCTGGTCACTTCGATATTCAGGTTCAGGTAGTTAACATGTGGTTTATCATAAGATAAAATGTCAAGGTGGAGGTCATGCTTCTCCTGCTTAGGTAAGATTTGTGGATGTCGTAAGAGTTCCAAGACTGGAAAGGCTGGTGATATAAATTTTTCCGTATCCAATAATATCAACATTGGAGTAAGCACGCAGAATAAGAAGGATGATTTAGACTTTAGACCAAAATCTGAAAATTACGGTCACCTAAAAATGCTCGAGGAAAAATCAGATACCAAATAATGTAAAAATGGTCTAGAAAAATATTAGATGAAGATGGGCGGAGAAAGTGGTCTAGAAAAAGTTGGCGGGAATACTGCAGGATTCTTGTTGATTTAAGACGAAAATAAAAAAGTGATGATAGAGCCTAGATCAGTTAGTGGTCTAGAACCCTCATTCCCTATACTACTCAAGCTGGAAAAAAGTATTTTTTAAACACAAAAAGCCCATTATCATTTAGTGATTTTCAGAAAATTAGGTACTTAAATTATACAAAAACATCAAAATGAAACTAGTTTTCATATATTGCGCATGAAATATTTAAAAGTTAAAAATTTTCCGCGCTTGTAAAACTGCGACAACAAACTATTGCTTGTATTCCATGTGTAGATTTCGGCATGCACATGTCAAAAATAAGGGCAATGTTTAAAAATTAAAAAAGCCCATTCTCATTTGGTGATTTTCAGAAAATTAGGTTCTTAAAAGGAAAAGGAAAATTGGAAAAGGCAGTCCACCGTCAATTTTACAACTTCTTGGAGAATAACAAACTGTTGAACGATTGCCAATTTGGTTTTCGTAGAAACAGATCTACAAAGCTGGTTGCCACATTGTTTTGCGATACAATACGAAAAGAAATGGACAACGGAAAACTCATTGGATGTGTATATTTGGACCTGTCCAAGGCGTTCGACACTATCGGTCATGGTATTCTCTTGGACAAGTTACCTGCGTATGGTGTTGTAGGCCCTGAACTTGCTTGGTATACAGATTACCTATTCAATAGAACTCAGTTGGTTGAAATGCAAAACAATTGCTCCAGGCCAAGCACTATTACCATTGGAGTGCCGCAAGGATCCATCTTGGGTCCTTTAATGTTTATAGTGCTTTTCAATGAGGGTCTAGGATAGGAGCTCTAGGATAGGATTACGCTGTAGAGACCTCCGCTTTATTTCAAGCATAAATAAGTATTTTTTGAAGCTTTTGAACCACATATTCTATTAAATTAAAGCTAAAGACCTTGTGGATCTATTTGTCGTATTCCGGAATTGCATTTATATTGTGGTGTAAAGTTATTTTGGATCGTCTTATCGTTGTGTACATTGTTGTTGTGTCACATGCTGCGAAGCTGAACTTTTGGATATTGCTCGTTATCTTTGGCTTTATTTGTCGTATTCGTGTGTAAATTGCTACGTATTCTACCAATGGTGTTATAACTTTCGCGTGTTAATTTGGTCTCATTTGGTTACCTTGTTCGTGTTTTTTTTTTGTTAGTGCCTATGCAACGAATTTTTCACCTCATTTTTTATTGTTTTTCTAAAAAGGTACTGTTGGAGTGATGAAGAATGACGTTTACAGTTTCGTCATATCTCATCTCATTCTCAAGTTATCACACTTTCTATATTTTGAGTTGTGACGTCACAAGTATGAGTTGAGATAATGGCAATAAGCCAATAACAAGAAAGTATGATATCTTGGTGAGTATTTAATAAAATTCAATGAAACTTGGTACACTTAGTGGGTGCACTCATATGAATATTTTGGGTAGGTCATGTGGTTGTCATGGCAACACACTAGTCCCCAGTCTCTTCTCTTCCTTTCACA